CCCCCCCCGGAGGCCTCGTAGATCCCTACTTTGACGAGCCCCCCCAAACACCAACCTGATGCTGCCGTCGTCGTCGGCGAAAGGGGTGTAACTCCCGCGGCGGCGGGGACGCGTGGAGGGGCGCAAGTCGGCACGACGTTTCGACGCATATCTCCCAGGTGCGCGGCGAAGCGATTTCGCCGGAGCTCTCGGCAGACGTGCTTCACCCAGCCGCTGGAATCGGCGGCGCGGCTGGTGTCGCTCGGCGAGCTCGGGTCGGTGTTGACTGCGGCATCGTGTGGGTGGTGGCGGTGGTTGTACCCGTTGGACTTGACCCCGTCCGTGATAACTACTCGGCCGTGCGCGAGTAGGATGGCTGCTTCGTGGTCGATGCCGATGGTACGTGCGGCGTGCTGCGCTTCGAGGAAGTCCAGGCGGGCCTTGTCTCGCGCCACTTGTTCGGCGGCCATGAGGCTGCCGGGGGAGAGGGGCAGGGGGGAAATACCGTCACATTCGGTGCTTGCGACCACGGAATGTAGGTAGACGCACCCCCATGCATGTTGCTAGGTTGACACGAGGCAAGAACGACACCGCGTTCTTGTTTGATTAAGTGGATGGTCGGCCACAGGCAGCGAGGCGAATCGCGAACATGGGCCGTTGGTGATGCCTTCACACTCGTAGAGTGGTTATAGCACTTTGTGGGTGATGAGTAACCCTGGGGGGAGATACACGTACGTGTCTTGCATTCTCTTACTGCTGTGTACATAGTCTACAGACTATTCGTAGGACATGAAATCGAAGTGTTCCTACATACCTCTACGCACTTTCTCATGGCTTCTTCTTCCGCTCGCATCGCGTCGTTCTCGTACTCGCGTTCCTGCTCGTCCTTAAATCTCGACATGCTCTTGCCGTACAGCCGGAAAACGAGCTGTTCTGCGGTGACGCCAGCCTCGTTAGGGATTGTCCAGTTCGGGCGTAGCGACAGTATCGCTTTGACCGCTCGGTGCCGTTTCCACTTGAGAGCAATATGGAGGGCGGTGTCTCCAAAGTGTCGGTGCATCCACTGGGTCCATGCATAGCCTCCATAGTCAATCTCCACCTTTGATTTGGATGACGGGACGCAGGTTGTGTTTGACATGTCACGACGACAGGACGTAGCTGGGTAAGATTGTGTCGGATCATGTTTCGTTTTCGACACAACGTGTAGGAGTAACGTACATGCGTAACGTAGTAGATAGAGCGACGGGGCTACTGTGTACGAGCGTCTACCTGAGGTTGCGCCTAATAATATTTCTCGAAGAACACAAGCCCAAACTTGACATTGCTAGCACTCCATGTTGCAATGCTTTCCGGCCGAGTCGAAGAAAATGAATAGTCTAGTCTACAGCACGGAAAACAACATGCACAACACAAGGTCCTCTTCGATCGAACCCAGCGACATCCCGCAGTCTACATCAACGACCGGTCGCCCCGGTGGTCTAGTGGGTAGCCACGCAGCCTGCTAAGGGCCGGGTCATGGGTTCGAGTCCCGACAGATTTAGTGTTTTCTCGCTAATGAAATCCTGGTCTCCGTTGGAAGCGACGCGCTGCAAAGCTCGTTGATAGTAAACTTGGTCAACTTCATACGTCGCGAGGGAAGGGATTGCTGTACCCTGCTCGCGATAACATTATCTCAGGCAGGAACCGCAGGAAGGAGGGGGTCCAGCCCCCCCTCCTATGTGACCCCGGTTGGGTCGTCTAGTTGGTAGAAGTGGAGGATAGGAACCAGAGTGGCAGACGACAGAGTCCAATAACAATGGGAGACAAAAAAAAAAAACACCGGACACGCCGGAGATCTACAGCTGGTGTTGTGTGTGTGTGTTTTTATTATTAGCATCGACCGCGCTAACCGGCTGACCAATGAAAAGACGTCAGTCTTAGTGCGGTTGAAAACACAAAACACTTCTATCTACCATGAACTGGGACCCCGTGAGGGGGCAGCATGGTGGAGGCTAAACTATCCTTCGGATTAAAAACAGAAACAGCAGCAACAGACGAAAAATGCACGCGTCTACCAAGGCTATTACCTAGTACTCGAGTTCGTTTAGGAGTACTTTCACCAGTGTCCTCCTTGTTTTCGCTACCATCATTCTGATCCTCATTTCGACAAGAAGAATCTCTGGGCAGTTCTTCCCTAGCCCTACGTTTCTTGTTGTGGGGAAGGTCATCTGGCTCAAACCCTT